AATTCCCATTCCTCTTTAAACTCCTTCATCACAATTTCCAAATAAGCCATTGCCACAGCTGTTATCCATACCAAATCGTCATCTTTCTTGGAATCACTCCCGGAAAACAAGCCCGAGAAATTAGAATTTGTTGCAACGAACTTTCCATCGAATGATTGGAGTTTTAAAAATTCGTATAATGTTTCGATAGTTGGTGTCTTTATATCAAACGATGGTGATAGTTCTTGCTCTTGAGCTTGTGACGTTTGAGCTTGTAACGCTTGACCTTGGAAATTTGATCCTGATAATAAAGTTCTAGGAGCTGAATTGTTGGGTGAAAATGATGATGATTGTAGCATAGGTTTTCGTAACGACGGCGGCGAATATGAGCATGAGAAACCCACTGCAGATGCTGCAGATACCATATATGCAGCTCCAATTTTATAAATAAATATATTATATCAGAGAATTGATAAATAAAAAAGTTTTTAAATGGTCCTAAACTCACCTTGACGAACCATTGGAGCACCAGCAAAAGTAACAAAATTTGATTGTCCTGGAACTTCTCTTTTTTGTTTAAGTGTCTCACTTCTAGCGATTTCCGAGTTAGTTTTCTCGTTAATTGCTAGAAAACTAAAATGTCAAAATAAACAAAAAATCAAATATACTTTAGTTGCATGCTTTAGCATAATAAAAAAACTACCAAAAATTACCTGGTATGTCTTGATGCAAGACTGAAAGTAATACCTGAAAATATAGTAACGTTAATAAATATGATTTTATATAGAATAAAAATAGTTAATTTTTACCTAAACTGATAATTTGTTCTTTGACAAGGTCGTCGGAAACTTTATCTTTTCCGGTAGAATCCGCATGCAAATTGGATGTTCCTTCTTCCAAATCCTGAATTAATTTCCGAGCAGCCAAAGTATGTATTTTCGATCCCTGAAGAGTTACTGGATCTACTTTAACATCAAGTTTAATCGGACTATCCAGGGATTGTGCTGAAAGATTTATAATTTTTTTAGGCTCAACGCCTTTCGCCAGAATCGCGTAAACTACCACACGCACGCCCGAATATATGGCGGGAATAGAATTGGGAGCTTGACGAAATTTGATTTCATTTTTTTTCGACGAATCCCAAGGAAATGAACTAATCGATAATCTTTTCTTGCTATCTGTTGGCGTCTCGTCAATCCATTCTACTTTATAATCAGTTAACGCGTTTTTAATTGCATTCTTAACCATCCCGACAACTTTTTTATCCATGCGTTCTTCATCAGTGACAAATTGTGAATACCCTTTCCCAGCTCGAGCAATTGACTCGATTAAATGATGCGAGACGCTGGATCCAATTCCTAGAGAGAAGAGTCGGAAAGTTTTCTTTGGGTCGTTGGCAGTTTTCTGAATCAGTTGAACTATTTCGTCAACGTTCCACACTTCACCATCCGTTAATAAGAAAACCGAGGTTGGCATATCACTACGAGCAGTCTTAACTACCCATTCGAGAACGTCTTTTATTTCTGTTCCTCCGTAATCAGCACCCATGTTTTCGACATGAGATAAAGCTTTTGAAAATGTATCTTCTGAATAACGCACACTTTCTTTAAACAAGGAATCAAATCTGCTTCCAAAAGAAACGATATTGAAAAGACAGTTTTCGGGAAGCGAACGAAGAATCAATTGAAGAGCTTGTGATGCCCTACGAATTGGACCACCAGACATTGAACCTGACCTATAGAATTTAAATTTCAAAAAATTTATTATAATTCATATTACTAAATAGCTAATAGTAGGATTTAGTATACATTAAATAA